ATAAGTTTTTTTTCTCTTGTTTTTTTCTCTTAATAATTGTTTCTGGGGTTGAGTTATTAGTTAATTAAATGTAATAATTCCAGAGTGATTAAGAGACGGATTCGTTAAAGTAAAGTTTGTGATAACTGGCGAATTGGACGTTTGGGTGGTCTGAATGGCGGAATTCAACCAGACGGGATAAGTGGTTTTGGCAAAACTTAAGTAGACGTTGTCTGCGGAAGACCCAGCAGGAGGTCCGAATCCGATTTTATTATCTCTTGAAAACTGGGTTCCCGCTGAGTTTCGGGGACCAGAAAAGCTTGCATGGTGGTCAAAGGCGATTTGCATATTAAAATTCGTGGGCGGTGCCTAAAGATGGTTTAGCTCCGCCTCTCTATATATAAGCTGCCCGCACGCTTGAGTTAGTGAGATCGCAGATCGGAACGCAGCAGAACGCGGATGAGACGGCTTGTTGGAATTTGCTGGTCTGGTCTGTTGGTTGTCCTGCGTCAAGAAGACCGATCCGAACCAAGAGATAGAAATAGAACCCGTACGAATCCAGATAACTTCGTCAACAAACCTGTGAGAAAGCAGACTGCTATATTGTAGGGTGCAGACGAAGATCCACGAATTACTTCCCTTAAATCAGCCGAAATTATTTAGGCAGAAATTTTCCTACTCTCTCTCTCTCTGTCACTTCCGACCCCAAACGAGAAAACGTCGTTACGATATTTTGTACTCGTGTAAATTCTTCGGTAGTGACATAAAAACAGTGGCCTAAAAAGGGCTCTTTGTACAGGAACCGAAAGAGTTGCTTATTTTTTCTTTTTCATGTTTTTGCGGCTACGACAAGAAACTTTTTTGCATGAATAGTGATTTCCTTTCAGCGTAATACCCAGCCATTTAATTCATCCTACCTCCGGAGGGATCGAAATACTGCTGTTCGGATCAAAAATTCACAACGTGGCAGATAGTGGTGGTTCCTTCAGTTCACTGGGGGAGGACCGGATGGTTTACTTTTCGGCCAGAACCACAGAACAGAGCTGCAACAGGCAGGCTTTATTACGTTAGATTCTACTAAAGAACGAAAGCAAGACTATACTGTAATCTGCGTTCTCCTACGTTTCCTTTAATAACTGAACACCCCCCACACACACACACATATATATAGGTTTAAAAATGTCTGCAAATAATTCAATTTAGAGTTATTAAGTTGCCATATAAAACTAGGTTGCTTTTGTCATTCGTGTACATTTTTGGATAGTCTGTCTTCAACATTTAACGTGTGTAGTAGTGAGTTAACTAACAAGTATTCCGTTTAATAATAGAAGGATATTCATATCATGAGTAGGCAGATATGATTTTTAGTTGCAGCCGCGAATGTTAATGGACGTGAGGCTTTCTTTAAACTTAAAAGTGAAGGAGTTGCATACATATGTTTATATGGACTTTTTTGTCTTTGTTCTGTCGTGCGAAATCCGCCCCAAATTTTAAAATATTTTTAACATATATATGATAAAATAGTGTTTTAAGGTATGCTATATTTTTGGATAAAAGTGCTTTAAGATCCGGGATAGAAAATGTAAAATGTATAAATTTAAGAATGGACACTGTGATCATATCATGGCGCCACTTGATGTTGACCTCAGTGTCTATATATATATATATATATATATATATATATATATATATATATATATATATATTGGGTATACTGACAAGCCCTTCCAAAAAACATTTGATCAGATTTTAGAAAGTGTATCAGGCCAAGAAAGTTTCAGCATTCTTTCCTATGTAATATACATAGTGTGCATATGTATATGAATATATTTCTTGGTTAGTCATGTATGTGTGGATTCTTCTGTATGTGTACGTGTATGTGTGTGCAGCAACAAGACACCACTGTTTTTCCTCCTGGGAATCATTAGTGATTGCTTAAGAGATATCAGTGCCAAGGAGAATGACAAAGAGGGAGGAAGACTGCAAGTAAATGCGTTGATGTAAATGATGGACGACATTGAAGTCAAACAACCAGGATCAAAACCATTTTGTCATTTACTCTTTCGTTTGACCAATATTCTTCTTGCATTATTTGCTCTCGAAAATACACAAAGAAAAAGATAAAACGCAATTAATATACATGCATACCTACATATACACGATCTATTTAATAATAATATGCTAGGATTTTGATACGGCGTTATGTCGGAAACTCAGAGTACAAATATTTACTCATCCAATACTATACAAATAAAAGATTGTTAATATGTTACTAGTACTACTATGCTACTTTTCTATATAATTACAATCGATATTGATGCGCATGTTTCAGTGATGCATGATGAGGTTCAATCCTTCTTTGAAACTTGTGGATTGACGCTTCAGAATCACAAAGAACTACACTAACAGAAAGTATATCTCTTGAAGACTTTCAGCAGCAGCAACAACTAAAATGGATAGCACATGTAACTGGAAGAGAAAATAATGACATAATCAAAATATTGACATTCCACATTATTTCAAACAAAACGTTAAGAAGGATACACCCCTCAATACCGAAACTGAGCGATGACAGTGACTTGAGAAACCTATTTTCCCCCCAAAATTGTTTTAATAGAAATTTCAACAGAAAATAGTAATTATTACTCGGTCAATGAATGCCGAATGTTTCCTTACATGGAAACGGCTAATATTCTCATTACCATGATGCCATAAATAAAATAACGTGATATTAAACAATTGGTGCAACCCTTGCACTTCTACAACAACAATAACATCAGTGTAGAAACGTCTATTAGAAAAATTTCATCTAAAGACCCAAACCAGCAAAGTCAATATTATATGGTGAATTCGATAAAAATACTAATCATTAGAGACATTCTTTAGTTAGATTGCCTGTTGTGATGGTGACTTGCCGTATAGCAGGATGACACATTTACTCAATCATTTTAGTCTCTTTCGACGTACAGCTTTGTTCAGTCTTTGCAGTAACTCAAAGTATCCAACTACGTTGTTTTATCATGTGATATGAAGTACAGTTGCTACCAATTTCTTCGTTGACTATTGAACTTAAAAGTGAATATCGATGACGATGGAATAAGCTTTTGTCTTGATGCATCCAAGTGATGAGACTTGGATGCATCAAGACAAAAGTTTATTCAAGTGTTCATATCAACCTTAGCTTTACTACACCTTTTCAAAAGCAAACAGAAACAAGATAACACTTTCCAATATCCCAATTTATTGTGGACAAGTTCATTGACTAGTGAATCAGAAAATTGAGTTTCATAGATATTTTACGAAGTTTGTACCATCTATCATCTTGAAACAAAGCTTCATCGAGGGATGTGTTGTTTTCTGTTATGGAAATTTCACTTCCAGCAAGACGTCTCTCCTGCAGTTTCGTGCACCTTTGTAGGGACATGCTACACTAGACGAGTGCCTACTTCTAAATCAATACATATTCACATAATATGCAAAAGGTTTACGGTGAATTTCTGAAATTTTTTTTCATTTTGATATGTACAAATCTTATTATACTTTACACCGCTATGATGGTCATAATTTGATGACTGTAGTCATCTTATTGTAACTTCATATAAGCATGAATTCCCAACTTACCATAAAGGAGAGATGCATAGAAGAAAGGTAATATTGTGTGTATTGTGAAGGGTATTATTCATTTCTTTTTCTATGTGTCGTCCCTTCAGGACGTGGACGATCATGGGTCTCGACAATTTCTTGTCCTTTGTTGCTCTTAGTAAAGAATCTTTTTTTGTTATCTCTCCTAATCTCAGTTTTGCCAACCATTTACACAAGTTCGTTAGGCGGGCTTTGTATATTTATACGTCCAGAAACAACTACGTTTTCATAAAAGTGAAGGTCGAAAAGCTTCCTGCGGTCGTTAATAGAAATGCTGTTCACTGGGAGAGCGCAAGGCGGATACAGCAAAAATAATCCAAGACAACATTTTGGAATTTAGTCTGTTCTATCTTGCCCGCCATATTCATCTGAACATAAACTAACCGGTTTTTTTTTGTTTTTTTGTTTTTTTTTGATCGATGGAAAACGCTTTGATGTGGGGAAACTTTCAAGAGACCGTGAAATTTGTTACATTAAAATCTGCTGAATTTTTCTCAAAATGTATCGAAGAGCTGCTTGATATGTATCAACATGTCATTGCAAATAAACGAGAATATATAATTTAGTAAAATATAATTGTCCTTTATGTTTTGAAGAATAAATTGACATACAAAAACGAAAATTATTTGTGACTTAAGCTAATAACAAAAACGAAAATTATTTATGACTTAAGCTAATAACAAAAACGAAAATTATTTATGACTTAAGCTAATAACAAAAACGGAAATTATTTATGACTTAAGTTAATATTTCATAATTCTTATTGTTCACCTGGAAGTATTTACCTAAGTAATTTCTATTTAAATATGTATTTTTTTCTGTTACCTCTACTACTACTTTAATTACAGTTATGTTCTTACATGTTATTCCTGTCAATCGGCTGGAATCTATTCTTGTTTTAGCCCAGAAATTCCAATATATTTTCTCTATTTTGAAATCAGATTTAACTCTTCAAGCTTATATTCTTTGGTGACTTTCGATAATAAATTTATTTAAGCTGTTTACATCTATAACGATATTAGTTTTGTCAGCATTTATGAAATCAATTTAATTTTTTGTTCTCGTATTTGAATTTTTCCCAATCTATTTATGATCTATCCAATTTTGAAAAATCGTATTTATTATAGTCTTTTCATAGGGTGTAAATAGACATTTCGTTTCTTTCATTCATCTTTCCTATTCCTATTTTTTCAACACTATTTTTTTTGGGGGGTGCAATCAAAATGATTTAAATAATGATAATGTTGTCGTCGGAAACCCTGCAATTTCTACACCTGTACTACTTGAAGTCGTTGCATACAGTTGGAGCAATTTCAATGTGTATCTTTTACCTACTATAATTATTATGCAAGAGGTTCTGATATATTGCCGAAGCTTACTGCAACATTAACAAAATGATAGATAGATAGATAGATAGATAGATAGATAGATAGATAGATAGATAGATAGATAGATACGAACAGAATGGGATACATAGATATGAGCAGGCAGATATGAAGAGAGTGAGATAGATAGATAGATAGATAGATAGATAGATAGATAGATAGATAGATAGATGTGAACAGAATCAAACAGATAGAAAAAAGAAAGAAAGAAAACTGGATGTATGTTTATGTACATGTAATTATTTATATGCATAAATATATATGTATACGTATGCATCATGTTATATGTATGGTTATGCTTGCGTACTGTGTTTCTTTGCCAGCTTATGTGTGTATTTGAAATAACAGATTAAATATGTGTCTAAATAAACGTATTAATATATATCTGAGTATGCACGTTTGCGTTTTTTTACGTGCCTTATTAACGTGTTTCAGCTGGCGCAGGTTTCCGAGTAGTGCGGCGAAATTTTCCGCATCAGTGCCCTATGTTACGTCCTTACAGAGGTTATGGGATTTTCTTTCAATGCAGCATACTCTAATACATACGGACATAGACAGATGTGTACAAGTGTGTTCGTACGTATGTACGTGTGTATACGTTTGTGTTTGTGTGCATGTTTGTGTGTGTGTTCACGCGTGCGTGCGTGCGTATATCCGACCTGAAGGCATATGCCTTGTACCAATAAAGTCAGGTGTCTCCATTTGCCATTTTCTCTGCCTCATTTGTTTCATTTAAAGCTAAACGTTAATGCGCATGCGTCTACTTGTAAACATAGATAGATAGATAGATAGATAGATAGATAGATAGATAGATAGATAGATGAAAACTATATCTATACAAACGCATGGACATACATACATTCAGGCACATGAGCTCCACATACACACACGCACAAACATACGCACACGCACACACACACATCACACAAACACACATCACACACACACATATATATATATATATATATATATATATATATGTTGCACCTGCGAAAAAGCGACTTGTAGCAGGCTGATCATTTATAATGTAATCGATTCGATATTTATTATTGTGTCCTTTGCCAAAATCCTGGTAAGCTAAGTTCATATGTATACGCTTGTCAGATAAATAGATAAATAGATAGATAGACAGACAGACAGACATTGTTACAACTTCGTGTTCTTACTAGGGGGCCTATGTTTGCATCCAGTGAGTGTAACAATTGTCCAAATGTTTGTGATCGCGCGCTTTCAACCAAATTTATTTTCAAGGTCCGATTTTCTATAGATAGATATGGCCAAATCATTTTAAAATCAACGTTAACCGCCTATGCTACCTTAAAGTAAGATACATCGCCTGTTCAAATACTTCTTAGGGTTTAACCGTAAGTTCTATGCTAGCAGTTTCTTTTCTTGCACTTCTCACTTGTGGAACTTTCTTCCGACTTCTTACTTCCCAGTCAAATTTGAGCTTCAAAAATTTAAATATAATGTCATCGTTAGCTACTGACTTTTTGAGTACTCTTCTCCTTAATAATGTTTCTCTTTTTTCTTATTCTTTTACATTCAATAACCTTTGTGTCTTAGTGATTCTACTCCCTAGCATGGGGTGATATGATTAACACACACACACACACACACACACACACACACACACACACATATATATATATATATATATATATATATATATATATATATATATATTAATAATATTTTTATTCGAAAAATTTACATCGCTACACAGAAGTTATCATTTCTTGGAACTGAAAATTGTTCCAATTCATCAGGCGATGTTTGGTAATTTATGATGAAAAAGATTTACTTTTGAAAACAGAAAACAATACAGTTTAAAAAGAGAGGTGGGTATAAGATATATTTTGTTCTAAGTTGTATTGATCACTTTTTTTTTACAAAAAAAAGCTAAATAAAGGTATACTTTTAATCTCTTTGTTCTTTCATTATATATATATAAACAGTAAGATTTATAATCCGGAGTACATAGCAGTTATTTTATCTTTTAAAAAAACAGTGCTCAATACAAACAGTAGAGCAAAATATTATAATTATTTTCTTTTTAAAAATATTATTCCATCGCGACACAGAAAATTTCCAAGTTTCAAAAACTTTATAGTAATAAATTGTTAAAAGTGTCAAAATATAGATAAGTACTATCCAATTAGATCATTAGCAAAGAACATTAGAACATGTTTTTGTAGGTTTGGATGTTATGCCATAGCTATAAATTGTAAATGGTGTCATAATATAGATAGGTATTATCCAATTAGATCATTAACAAAGAAAATAGATAAGTACTATCCAATTAGATCATTAGCAAAGAACGTAGATAAGTACTATCTAATTAGATCATTAGCAAAGAACATAGATAAGTACTATTCAATTAGATCATTAACAAAGAAAATAGATAAGTACTATCTAATTAGATCATTAGCAAAGAACGTAGATAAGTACTATCTAATTAGATCATTAGCAAAGAACATAGATAAGTACTATCCAATTAGATCATTAACAAAGAAAATAGATAAGTACTATCTAATTAGATCATTAGCAAAGAACGTAGATAAGTACTATCTAATTAGATCATTAGCAAAGAACATAGATAAGTACTATCCAATTAGATCATTAACAAAGAAAATAGATAAGTACTATCCAATTAGATCATTAACAAAGAAAATAGATAAGTACTATCTAATTAGATCATTAGCAAAGAACGTAGATAAGTACTATCTAATTAGATCATTAGCAAAGAACATAGATAAGTACTATCTAATTAGATCATTAGCAAAGAACGTAGATAAGTACTATCTAATTAGATCATTCGCGAATTGAAATATAAAGCTTCTGAAATATTTTGATTTTTTACCCTTATTGCGTATATCGTAAAAACGAATTTTCGTTTGGTGGGTGAACTTTTTCAAGTAAAACAAATTAATGACTTTTTCATTACTTTTGAACAAAAGTTCAGTGATTTATGACACAGGTACATGGCGCTATAAAATAGTCATAACCCTAATATATATATATGTGTGTGTGTGTGTGTGTGTGTGTGTGTGTGTGTGTGTGTGTGTCCGTCCGTGTGTGTGTGTTCGTCCGTGTGTGTGTGTGTAAAGACAAGAGAAATACTTTTTAATATCAACGCGTTTCACTCTTTGAGGAACTTTATCAAGACAAGTATGTAAATCTTATTTTGTAATCTCTATTTATACACAGTTATAAACTAGAGAATTTCGAATTTTGAAAATAAAAAAAGATAATATTAAAATATTCTAAAAAAAAAAATGACTGCGTCAGGTAAGATAGACTATATCTTTCTGAACATTTTGAGTCCTTAAGTTTCAACACATCAATATTTTTATGGATCTTTATCCCATCAGATCGAAATTAACGTAAGATACATAGTTTCAACTTGTTACGTACAAGCCGTTGATCCGATTGCACTCTGTACCACGTAGGAACAGGCTGCGCATGCACCCTATAGGTTTTGGTTTCAAGTAATCAAGATTATACTCATGCTTTCATCTTGGTTATTTTTCAAGCACATTTTTGAGTGTCCTTCTAATGAAAGAAAGGTGCTGCAGATGGCAAGTTCAAAATTCTGTGCCAACCTGAAAGAGTTAAAGATCATTACTATTCATCTTGCATAAACACTGTTTTCTTCAGTGCCTTATAAGTCTCCTTATCTTGTCCTACCCGAACGTTAAAGTCAACGAGAAGGATCTTGTCGATATTTAGAATCGAGATTATGATTGATCAAAGATGTTGACAGAATTTCATGATCAAGGATGTTGACAGAATTTCATGATCAAGGATGTTGACAGAATTTCATGCTGCTGTCAAAAGTGGCGCATAAACCGTAAGCATCGTCTTGAAATAGTTGTCTGGTAACGAAACACGAAAGCTCACTAAAGCCATTAAAATGTATTGTTAACCTAATGCAAATAAGAAAACCTACATCTCCTCTTGTTTTTTACCGTTTGGCTTACCCTCCCAGAATTGGATGTATTAGTAGTCTAATGGATAGCGGCTTAAAATATAAACTCGCCGAACTGAGTTTGAATTATAGTTGGATTCGTCACATTCACTTTTGCGCAAATGCCCTTAATATATGATTCAATACCGTTCCAGACAAAAGTGTATCCAGCGTATGATTCTGTTAACTGACCTTAATCACTGAAACGGGCTTATACGAGTGTAGCAATGTCAATCACAGCTCATCAGTGTGGTTAGATATCCGTTTGCTACAAGCCGGGATCCAAACCCAACTGATTTGGCATGTCAGAAATTCTGCCCCTAAGCTATCGGCGTTCGGCGAAGTAATGGATAACGGCTCGAACTGAGAAATCGAATCCATTACATTCACTTACGTGCTAATACACTTGGGAAAGCTATGAACCCTCTTCTTCCCCCCCCCCAGCTATGGTTAAGTATTAGGACAAACCGGGTTCTATAGCAACTGGTCTACCGCAGAAATAAATGGCAACCTACTGATGGAAAAATCTGCTTCGTCAGTCATGTATCGAAAGATACCTGATCGCCTAAGCGTGTATCACGCATGGCACCTGGCTAAGAAATATCAATACAGTAGCGAGCTAATTCTTTGCTATAATGCCGGTTAGTTGCCCAGGATTACTCGACCCATCACGTAACAAAGGGCCCTGACATTCCATATACAGATCTTCATCCTATATTTTTGTTGGGTATTTTCTCTAGTATGAACGGCTTTCAGCTGCAGATCGGTGCCCAGATTAATGATTGGATATATATTTATTTGGATCACTTTTTCCAGACTCTTCCCTAATTTCTCAGAGACTGATTTCTGTGCGATTCTTGAGACGGTTCCTTTGTCCCTGAAGGCTCCGCAGAAGTGTACTACCGACGTGATATGAGTCTCGAGCCGATCACGATTTGTGATTTTCTATACAACTCGACACTCCATGGATTCCTTGTATATATATATATATATATATATATATATATATATATAACATTCTTTTTATAGATACAAGTATTTAAGTAAATGCTCTGTTTATAATAAACAGTATTAAATAACATTTACCGGCCTGAATATCCGAGAAATTTTCATAGAAAATATTCGTCCTTTGATAGGTTAAGGCACGTCAGCGTAAATGACGGTTCCGTATAGGATGCAGTTTCGAATCCTGTCAAAGGACGAATATTTTCTATGAAAATTTCTCGGACATTCAGGCCGGTAAATGTTATTTAATACTGTTTATTTTAAACAGAGCATTTACATAAATACTTGTATCTATAAAAAGAATGTTAAACATAAAAATGTCTCTAATAAATTGTCGGACTTTGTCCAATTCTATATATATATATATATATATATATATATATATATATATATATATATATATATATATATATATATATTACGTTAAGGTGCGCTTTGAGCAGATATGAGCGTTCGAGAGAAATTTATAGTTTAAAAGCAGTAATTCCACCATACTAACCAGACGTAGCTACATGATAGGATACAGGTTTGATTCCTGTCGGAGGACACATGTTTTTCTATGCGATTTCTCGGACATTCAGGCCGGTTAATACTGTTTATTATAAACAGAGCATCTACTTAAATATTTTTAACTATAAAAATAACGTATAAACAGAAAATATATTAAAATAACTGTCGGACTTAGTCTATTTAATAATAATAATAATATTTATATATATATATATATATATATATAGAGAGAGAGAGAGAGAATCACCTGAGGAGACGCAATGGTTTGTCATTGCCTCTACCAATTTCCCAGTAATAAAGTTTAACTACGTGACTAAGTCAGGGCCGACAGCTATGATGATAGCAAGGAAAAAAATTCCAGAGACCACAAAAATTAATCTTCTCCTTTACAGGTTGTTGTATAGCAAAACAGAATGGAATGTTTCAAGACTGTATCCGTATGGTGATTTTCTAAGCCTATAACGTGATTATGCCTCAACGTTGTTAGAAGATTTTTTTTAAATTAAAAAAAAATCACTCAACGAAACGCTCCATTTAAGAAACTAAGAACATGTTCTATCTACGCCTTTTCAATAGGTTTTCTTTTATTGTCGGCAGTAAACTTCTATTCTCCCTCTCCTCTTTCTTCTCCCATTTTCTCTCTATGTTCACATTTTCTTTTCTTTTTTACAATCTTTCTTTTCTTTCTTTTATTGTTAGTAGTTGTATTATTGAAAAATTATCAAATTTGAAGCACTTTTCGTTAACAGATCGTGACTTCTATCATAGATGAAATTTTAATTTTTATTATTGTATTATTCCAAAATTTTAACACATCAGCAAATAGCTATTAATAACGAATGAGTACAAATAGTTATTAATTAGAAATAACAATTAATGTATAATATTATACGTAACTACATGTACAATAATGTTGTTTTGATGAAAGTTAAAGAAATAACCATAAATGCGTAAAAAGTGCCTATATTGTCAAAAATTCCTTTTTTCCACAATATAGCTATTTGTGCTATGTTATAATGCTTATTACCTAAACAATAATAATACTGAATAAATTTTTTTAAACATTAAAGTATATTTAATTACATCTCCCTAAAAGCTATCGCAATCTGTAAATAAATATCTTTTGAAAGTATCGAAATAAATGTTCTTTTTATATTAAAGTATTTTGAAATCGGTAACTTTGCAATATAACGCAAAGGGTAAAGTTTTAAAGAAAATGGTAACAAAAATGATACTTGATCTTATGATAGGAAAGAAACATTTGAAATTTCAAAGTCACATAATGAGGAAAAAGAGCTTGAAGACATTAAAAGTTAGGTCTAAAAAGGGTAAGAAGCTGTGGAGAGCCATGATCACCCACGCCCTGAAAGAATAAAAGAAAGAAGAATAGCGAAGATAAAATATGGTAACATTTAATCCAAGTATATCGTTTATTCCATGAATCGAATTGTAGTGTTAAGTACAACAAAATCACACCAGTATATTTGTATCTGTGTTTTTTTTTCGGCATGTAAGATGTGTTAAGGGGTCCACCCCTTTGTATACAAGTGGACTCGCCCAGTGTGTACTTGTACTGCTGCCGATGAATACCCGGGAGTCACAGTGATACAGATTTTAGTGATACAGTGAGAGAGTGAAAGTTTAAGGTAACAGATTTTTAGGAGTCACAGTTGCGAGCACGTAGACTCAGAAGGAAGTCATACTTCGATACTGAATTTCCCAGACTGTATATATATTATTATTGCTACTAACCGCATTTCTGGATCTACTAACCGTATTACCAATTGTATTATTACGTCAATACATTTATTTGCTATATTTCATTCCTGCGTTTGTCATTCGTTTGAGACTGGATTTCATCCCGGAATCCACAACAAGATGTATCTTATTTAACAGAATTTAGATCTTCAAATTCATCCTTGGAAGATATTAGCTATATCTTCACCACTGGCCTGCAGGTCAGTCTCTTCATAATTTCCAAAACTCAAGGTGCGTTCTATATGCTGGAAAAAGCATCGACGTGGAAAATTAAATTAATAGGTAAAGTTCAAATTCTAGTCAAGAAACTTCATTTCGCGCTAATGCCTTTAGGGATGGCATGAATGAATTTCTTCTTCCCCTAGCTAGTAGTAGAGTAGACTGGGCTGTGTAGCCTTGTTTAAATCAACCAGTAGAGGAATACACTGAATTCAAACCCGTCAAAAAAGTAATTAGTTCAATTTCGCAAACCGGTCGATGTAATTTGAATAAAATGATTTGTTTGAAAAAACAGTTTGACAAAAACCCTACTTCGCGGTTCTTACGCACCCTAGTAACTGCATTATGTACCCCCTTACCTATATGTAATTCTCTCTAAAATCGGTCAATGTATGGCCATTTTAGACGGTGTGACGGGCAAACAGACGGACAGTATGACGGAAGTCACATAATTTTATATATAGAATGGTGTATATGTTTTATATAAAACAAAATACGGTATAAATGTATATATGTGTGTGTATGCGTGTGCGCTTGCATGTGTGTGCACGCAAAAAAATATTTCGGAATCCTTTGTAGGTAGGGCCGAAAACTTTTCACCGCATTTAACTTAAGGGAAATTCGGAAAGTAATGGCTGCTATTTATTTCCACTGAAACTGCAAGAAGTAAAATAGTAGTTTCTACATAGTCACTACCATTGACTAAACATTTTTGCAGGCATTGAAATACAATCTGCATGCCACGCTCAAGCACATAATCTTCGTTTGCCACGCATATCGCTGTCGCCACTGATGAAAGGCATTACCAAACGTCTAACTGTTCTCATAACTATTGCTTAGTCTCCGAAAACGTTTACCAAGTGAATAAATACCAGTGTATGCATTTCTTTCTCAATAGAAGAATTCAGGCAAAGTATTCATTTTCCTGTCAGACACCATTTTGTTAGAATGCCACCTAGCGACCACCTGTAACAAAGCAAAGAAATTATAGATTATTGGCGGGAA